AATATGGAACGTGGGAGCTAAATTGGACATTACCTTTTGTTTGAACCAAGAAATGAAATCGTGCCTCCCCGCACCCGCACTTTAGAAAGAAGGATGTCATGTTCTGCGAGGTAGGATCCCTTGATTGATGCTAGGACTCACGAACAAATTCCTCGTCCGAACGAGAATCGATTGGGGCATGAAGAATATTCGTATGTGTTGAAACAAGTTCGTTGAGAACTTACTCGACGAACGGCTGCACCTCGGGAAGGTTGGTCAACGCATATAGCATGACACTTCGCCACTCTTCATTTCCCAATATCTTATTGGTCGATCCACTTGTGCTACCGAGTTGGCTTTGGAACAGGCTGTGGGTCCATTCATTTTCGCCAACATTGTAACGAGGGAGTGTATTATGATTGCTAGGAAGTTTCAGCTTGTAGTATAGTGTTGTGAAGTTTGCCACCTCCTCCCTTAGACTTGCCTCTGCAATGGAAGCATCAATTCTGGCTTTATTTGTACATTTCTTACGAATAGTCTTTAGACATCTCTCGATTGGATAGCACCACCGGGCTTGCACGGGCCCCCAAACGTGCCTCGGACGGGAGGTGCACAATCAGATGCTGCATGGGTAAGAAGAAGCCGGGTGGAAAGATCTTCTCCAGCTTACAGAGCAACACAGGTGCCGCTTTTTCCAAGTCCTGAGCGATGGTCCGAGATATCTCCTTGGCATAAAGCTGACGGAAGAAAAAGCTCAACTCTACCAGCACTTGCCAGACATGGTCAGGGACATAGCCTCGGACCATCGCCGGAAGAAGCCGCTCAATCCATATGTGGTAGTCATGACTCTTCATCCCGTTGACTCGTAAAGTGCCTAAGTTCACATGTGGAGATGTCTAGGTTTTATGCATCTGGCGTCGCAACTTGCTCGAAACATTCTCAATTTTTTACCACAGCCTACACATGCGATAACATGACACCTCGACAAGTTTCGTGATTTTCGGACTTCGTATGGACTTTATATAATTTTAAAACACTTTTCCGGCAAGTGGCTCGTCATGTTACGTGAAGAAGATGCGCGAAATTTGATGCAAGTTCGTGGATAGAGACTCAACATACACCAAATACCATGAATAACATTTTTCGAAGCACTAGATTACAATATTCCATGCACTTGCAGTTCAAATTTGAATTATATATAAAAATTCAACATAATCAAATTAATCAACCAAATATAACAAAAAAACTAGAAAAAACACCAAATTTGAACATGAAGTTGTAAACAATGTAGGCGGGCCCAACAAAAAATTTAGGGTTAAAAAACAAAAAAAATTGAAAATTTGCCGAGTGCCAGCTTGGCACTCGGCAAAGACTGTCTTTGCCAAGTGCTGGGCTAGGGGCACTCGGCAAAGAATTTTTTAAAAGAAAAATTTCAAAAACGGTTAAAAAGTATTTGCCGAGGGCCTAACGGTGATGCCCTCGGCAAATATTGACGGCAGGGGATGGACGTCGTGTCAGGCGGTGTTGCCGAGGGCCGGACCTTGCAAAGAATTATTGTTGCCGTGTGTTTGTATTTGTCGAGGATCTAGCCCTCGACAAAGAGTCTTTGCCGAGGGGTGTTCTTTGCTGAGGGTCAGAGACTTTTTGCCGAGTGCCCGAGCATTTTCCCTCAGCAAATCCTCAGGCCCTCGGTAAAGATGCTCTGTCCGGTAGTGTATACTACATTACCACCACTCCCTGCTGCCTCCTTTGCCCAATTAACACCCAACAACATGTGTGTGCACCATACATATATCTATATATATAAATTAAAAAAACAAACATGTGCCGTCTACCGGTAAGTAGCTGCACATCGCATCGCATCCTATTGTATGCGCCACATGCGTACGCGTGTGCACATAAAATAGGTCGCCTCGATCTCTTCTCCCTCCTGTGGCCGAATCAGAGACCAGCAGCCATGTCGACGGCAGGACGCTGACCTGAGCGGATGAGCTCCTCCTCGCTCTCTCCTGATCTCTTCTCAGTTCTCTTGTCCTGGCCCAGTGACAACACTAGCTGGCCTTGCAGCTGGCTCAGCTGCCAATGGGCGAAATTTTCTAATAGTATAATGCCCAGCAGATAACCTGAAATAAGTTCAGGGCCAGTCGAGACTGATTAAAAAACTGTCGTTTCAGATTCACATCGCAAGCACATTATTATTCTATCAGGGTGTAGTGTAGGAATAATCCATCCGTCCAAAAAAAGTGATGTTTTTTACTTTACATCACGTTTGATCGTTCGTCTTATTCAAAAATTTATCTGAAAGTCAAACAGATGGATGATCAAACAAGATGTCTGAAAGTATAAAACGACACTTTTTTTTTCGACGGAGGGAGTACGTGTTTCAGTTTTCTTTCGCTGAACTTTGGTTTTTTTATATTTAGGACACAACAGCAACAAGGCAGAGTACGATCGATCAGTGTGCATCTCGCGATCGACCAGCGGCAGCAGTACGTTCATCTGATTCACATCCAATTAATTAATTTATGGAGAAAACGAATGGACGATGCGCGGTTTTCAGAGGGAGGAACTGAGCAGGGATGCTTCGAGAGCTGTTCAGTGTTCTTGCTGAGCAGGTGTGATAAGAACCTGCAGGCATGCAGCTAAGATCGAGTTAAGCATGACGAGATGTGTGCATCATCATCATATATATCATCAGCCTCCTGAAATGGGCCTGTGCAATTTATTAATTTGGCAACGGCGGCCTAGCTAATTAAAGCAACAATATATATGTGCCCTTGCTTCACCTGAAAGTGCAATGAAATTTTGAAGTGATAACATAGGTTGACTTGTGTCAACCATGTTTATAGTACCCGGAACTGGAATGGCATAAACAAAACTGGCCGCAACTAAACTTAGTGAGCGATGCAAAATTGTCTTGGGATGCATGAACTCAGCTATTAGGTTTTGTGTACTTTTATCTAAAAAATGCTATTAGGTTTTGTGTGTGTATGTGGAGCCTGTCCATGCGGGTTCTAAGCCAGCATTGTCGTTGACATTCATGTCTAATACTCCCTCCGGTTCTCTAAAACAAGTCGTTTTGAGGTTGTCTTAAGTCAAACATTTTAAACTTTGACTATAAATAACTTCTTTTGGGTTGAGTTTCAAAATATGAAAGTGATATAAGTAGATTCATCTCGAAATGTAGTTTCATAAAAGTATATATTGACTATATTTTATAAATATTTTATAGCAAAAAGTTACAGTCAAAGTCGTTTCTTAAAGACCATGTCGATGTCCAAAACGACTTGTTTTACAGAATCGGAGGGAGTACTGTATTCTTTTAGTAGTAGCCGCGTGACTTCAATAATGAGAATCATATGGTGACTTTGGATCTCAAGAACTGTACAACTAGTCTCTCTGATGTGCTAATTTAGGTTGGTTGCAAGTGTAAAATATTTTGCAAAAGAAAAATATAGAGTTAAGACCTCCGTCCAATAAAGGATAGAATTATAAGTTTGGTCTATAAGCAAACTATATATATCTTAAGCTTGCCTAAGTTCATAGAAAAATAGTGTCGACATTTGTGACTCCAAATAGATATAGTATAAAAAATATATCCTATGACGGATCTACTCATATTTATTTAGTATGATAAATATTAATATTTTTAATAAAAAAACTTGATTAAGTTTAAGATGGTTTGATGCTAGAATTATATTTTCTCTGGGACGGAGGAGTAGCACCATAGCATACATAATTTATTTTTCACTACATATTAGTAAACTTAGAAACAAACCATATATCCTTATCTATATAAAAATAAAAAGAAAGAAAGACGAGATTCAAGTGCCAATCAAAGTGGTATATACACTTCAAATAACCATGCCAAGATAGAGAGTATATGCATATTGTGTATAGTAGAATTACTATACCTGAGATACCAATGAATAGCATGCTGAAGATTTGCAGGAAGGCAACAACTGGCATTTTGGGGCTCATCACCTGCCTAACTCACATAAAGGCTCCACCTATGGCATGAGAAGGACAGGCTCACATGAGCTCAACCAGATAATCCGTGGGCCCCACCCCCTCTGATCCCCCTACTACTACTATTTACCTCCCTCTCTCTCTCTCTCTCTCTCTCTCTCTCCTCATCTCATCTCATCTCATCTCATCTCACCCCTTTAAAAAGCAGGCAACTTGTATTATGCCCACCCTCCCCTACAGCCTACACCCCACGGATACAATACTAGCTAGTACTACATACATACGTACACACTGACAGGGAGAGGTCACAAGCATCCATATATATACATACATGATGCATACTACACACACATGCTTAGCTGCAAGCCTGAAACAATTAACACTACAGTGGGTGAGAGACTGAGTAGCTAAACTAGCTAGGCCAATTCAATTACCTTTGGTTGCAAGCCAAAAGTAAGTATCCATCTCCTTTCCCCTTTTCCCTTGCCCCACCAATGCAAGAACCTTCATAGTACTGCTACTGCTACCACTCATCACATCTCCTCCTAGTCTTAGCCAGCCACTTCTTCCTTCTTCTTCCTCCCCTTCTTCTTCCTCCTCCTCTCCTCTCTCCGATCCCTACCTTGATTTGAGGCTCAGGGTCGCTAGCACACAAAACCAGCGTATCCTCCTCCTTTCCGTCCTGATTCATCTCGCGCGCGGCCGCGGCTGGTAGCAGCCACAATAATCCAAGAAACCAAGCAGAACCAAACCCTCCAAATTCCCCAATTCTAAATTATTCCGATCCTAAGCCATCCGCTAATATAAAACAATTCCCAAGGTCGTATACTCTAACTATAGTAACAGCTGCACCGCCACTGCTCGCCATCCAGCAGCGGCATGCCATAAACAAAAAGTATGCCAGTGGTCAAAGTTTGAAGTTTGAAGGCAGCAGCAGGAGCGACGCATCGTCGATCGATCGGCCGGCGTCTACGACGATCTACCAACCTACCTCGACGGACGGACGGACGGGTCGATCTCGATCTCGCTCGATCGCCGGTCGTCGGAGATCGATGGAGTTCACCGCTCCCCCGACTGCGGCCCGGTCGGGCGGCGGCGAGGAGAGGGCGGCTGAGCACCAGCAGCAGCAGCAGCAGCAGCAGGCGGCGGTGGAGAAGGAGCACATGTTCGACAAGGTGGTGACGCCGAGCGACGTCGGGAAGCTGAACCGGCTGGTGATCCCGAAGCAGCACGCGGAGAAGTACTTCCCGCTGGACGCGGCGGCGAACGAGAAGGGCCTGCTGCTCAGCTTCGAGGACCGCACGGGGAAGCCCTGGCGCTTCCGCTACTCCTACTGGAACAGCAGCCAGAGCTACGTGATGACCAAGGGCTGGAGCCGCTTCGTCAAGGAGAAGCGCCTCGACGCCGGGGACACCGTCTCCTTCGGCCGCGGCGTCGGCGAGGCGGCGCGGGGAAGGCTCTTCATCGACTGGCGACGCCGACCCGACCCGCCCGTGCACCACCAGTACCACCACCGCCTACCGCTCCCGTCCGTCGTCCCCTACGCGCCGTGGCCGCACGCGCACTACCACTACCCAGCTGCTGCTGCTGTTGCTGCCGCGGTCGGCGTCGGAGCCGGTGCCGCCAGGACGACGACGGTGCTCCACATGCCGCCCTCGCCCTCCTCGCTCTACGACCCCCACCGCCGCCACGTCGGCTACGACGCCTACGGGGCCGGCAGCAGGCAGCTGCTCTTCTACCGGCCGCACCAGCACCACCAGCCCTCCACGGTGGTGCTGGACTCCGTGCCGGTACGGTTACCGACAACGCCAGGGCAGCACGCCGAGCCGCCGCCTCCCGTCGTGGCGTCATCGGCCTCGAAGCGGGTGCGGCTGTTCGGGGTGAACCTCGACTGCGCCGGCTCCGAGGAGGAGAACGGCGGCGGCGGTGGGTGGAGGACTAGTGCGCCGCCCACGCAGCACGGCCTGCCGTCGCCGCCGTCCTCGTCGTCCTCCTCCTCCGAGAAAAAGAGGTGCTCCGTGAATCTTTACTTATGAAGGCATGGCAGCCGGAGAGGTCGTGGTCGTCTCGTCGTCGTACTCGTACGATCTACCACTACAGCAGCAGCCAGCTACTACTACTACTTTCTTCCCGGCCGCCTTCTGGCGCCACTGCACTGACGGCGGGCACCAATGGTCGTCGTCGTCGTCGAGATCCAGAAATCCAAGTAAACAAAGGCGGCGGTGGTACGTGGCCGGCCGGTGCAAGTAAGGATCGATCGAGCTGGAGGGGGCACTGCACCAACAAGTCAGTTCGCTCGTAACCCGTATATAGCTCATCTCTCTCTCAATTTCCTTTAGCAATTTCAGTGTGAAGGGGGAAACAAGGAAATTAAGAACAAAGCAGCAACAAAAAAATTATTTCTCGATGGTTAATTTCTCGCCTCGCGATTTGCTTTCTTGATTTCCTCGTCTGCTAATTTAGCTATATATAAAGCTTAATTAAGTGCACAGCTGCTCGAATTCTTCTTCTTCTTTTGCCTCCTGGAGAAGAACTACACTACTGATTTCTTGCATTTCTCAAGCTAATTGCCTAGTGTCAGCATGCATGACCGGGCTTAGGAAACACTGTGTGCTCCGATCCCTACATATGATAACAATTGCTAATACGCACTTCATGATCATATCTGGAGTGCTCCTATTTCAGGATCAGAGTGTATATACCTCTTAGGATCAGAGGCGCGACAAGTGTGTTTTATCGCACTGCATGCATGTATTGTGCACATGGATTGTTCTTGCTGTGGTGTTTTGGGCAGGTCAATTGGGCTCTCCTTCCAAAGCACCTCGGCTGTAGGGAGGAGAGGGGATCAAGCAGGTGCCTTTAAAATGTGGGAGCTCCTCCGCAGCAGCCAGCAGCCAGCAGCCAGAGCCCAGAGCCAGCCAAAGCCATGCCAGAGCTCAGCTCAGCTGCTATCCAGATCTCTCTCTCTCTCTGGTTTCTCTCTCTAGGACAGGCAGTTATGGGAGGAATGGAGGTCAGATCCTAAATCCTTCTCCTGTCCTTCACAGAGAGCAGGCTGATCTACCTTCGTAAGCTTGCTTGCTCATCCTCTCTCTCTCTCTCTCTCTGCGCATCTCATCTCCATCTACGATCTCTCTCTTTCTCTCTAGCTATGAGCATACTGTTCAACCTCTTGACTTGGTTCGCGCATTTGTCTCTTGTGCCATGCATACCTTCCCTGCTGCTTCTGTTAGACTGTTACTGCTGTTTCTTCTGCAGCAGCAGTTCTGTTCTTTCTGCTACATCTACTACACTGGTGAAGTGTTCATCAGACATGCATATACGAAACATGAAAGCTAGTAATGCCAATATTTGTGTATGCCATCCCTGCCTTTCTGCAAGCGACTAAAAAGAAAAAAAAGGGAAACGAGTTGGAAAGCATACAAGAGAGCTTTTTTTCTTTCTCTGCTGGACTCTAGTTTTTCCTCTCGATCTTTTTGGCGTCAGTCAGAGTGAGAGAGGAAGATAGAAGAGTCTCAGCATGCATGCCCACATTGCGTCGTAGTGCACACTGCACAGTGCATATATACTATAGCTAGTAGCATTGCAAAAGGCAATACAAAAAACTCATTAACATGCGGGGAACAAGCTAGTCATCACACAATGCAAGTGTACTGCATGGTGTACAGTGTACTTAAGTATATATAATTTGAAGAACCTGTTGGTTTGGGCCTGTTTGGATGATAAGCTATGATTGAAAGTATTGTTGGTTGATTTGGTGTGAGAAAAAAATACGGTTCGTTGGCTAAGTACGGCTTATAAGCCAAACAAGCCCAAGCGAACAGTGCGAAGATTTGCTGATAATTACGATTACCCCATGCCTAGCTAGTTTGTCAGATCGAAATGTTGTATGTGAAAATAATATATATAGCAGAAGGCAGCAGCTTCGATTTGACCTTGGCTGTGTTTTCCTTTAGCGTACTCCATCTAACCACTGTTGAGAGTACTATAGGGAGTACGTAATAGAATATTAATAACTCTTTTATCAGACGTAAGCAGGACTCAGTACCATGCACGCGCATGGGGTCTCATAGTTTTATACAGTTCTTGTTTTGGTACTCTCTACTTAAACACGGGATCATGATCTCATAGTTTTAATACTAGTACTCGGAGACTCACTACATATATGCTCAGACTCAGCCATTGTGCGTCACATAGTACTAGTCTCAAGCATACTGATTTCCTTTCATTCCTTCCCGGGCATGCTTTATTTTTCCAGGAATACGTCAAGATTTTATCACATATATATGTGCATTGTTCTTTCTTATTTTTAAAACTTCCAGTACTTTTGTAAGGGAATGACTCTTCTTGCTGCCACATTATTTTACATTATTGTTCTCGGTCATTTACGCAGCATTCATATATCAGATATATAGCTCACAGTTTGAATGAACGAAGCTAACTTGTTCACATATTAAAATTATCATCAACTGACTGATCAATAACGAACTATCTCTTCGTTCCTACCAGTATGTGCTACTGAAAGAAAACCAGCATATATATAGTGATTGCCTTACGTATTGCTAGTAGACAATTAACAATGGTTAGTTGCGACACGTACACACATGCATGCATGTGAGATATACATCGACTTGCAAGATCTTGTCAATTTGGTATGTGTATGATGTGCACAAAAATATAAAGTCCTCTGGCTTGCAACTGTTTTGAGTTAAGTGAAATAATTAATCTCTCATATCTTTGATTAGAAAGATAAGGATGCATGCTAGTGCTTTATATCTTACTTGCATACATTCATATCCAGGTTACCGTTCAAGCAGACTCTATGGTAAACTCTCATGGTTAGACTGCAAATATTAATTCATAGCCTCCTTTCTAACCCTTATTAGCTATTTTCACTTTTAATAAACAGGAAAAACAATGTTATTATTAGCAGGTGATTATTTATGTACATGAGTTCTAGAGTCGACTAAGTAAAAAATTTCGTAAAATATATCTTAGCTAGTGATCTCTTTTCAAGGGAACAAAATAGTCTGATTATACTCTTATGAACATTATATCTGCATTTGTTCACAAAATAATGATGCCATTTTACTTCCACTACACAAACTAGTAGTTTTCTAGTAGAAACTACCTTTATATTATAGTGCACGATGACAACTAATGCATAGTATATCTTTTCAATGAGGTAATAATGTGTTCTTGTCACCTGTCGTTGCTTATTTATTTGCAGCAAGGATAATTAAACTAGCCGTGCATTTTCATTAAGAAGATCATTCCATGAATACATAGTTCCTTTGCCTTTACTGTGGATTATCAAATTATTTCTTTTTGATTGATCACATGAACTTGTGATTCATAATAAAACTGGTACATGGGCTCATATATGAATATATGGAAGAAATACTCACAGTCAGCACGTGTCATAAGAAATTAGCTAGGTTGGGTTGGAATAGGGGGTGGGGAATGTACAACACTTGATAAGATTAATCTATATATATTAAAATATTTGTTGCTTTATATATCAAATTGACTCACCGTTGTTGAACTAGTAGGTTTGTTGCATATACATGTTGGGAAATATGAAAGTTTTGCACTAGAAAGGAATTAAGAGGGACCATCTATAGGTACGGTATATATGTGTAGCTAGCGATCGGATCAGTGTTTGCTGTGTTTCTCATTCCAAGCTTATTAGCATGAGATTTTCTTTATTAACCTTGAAAAGTTATTAAGAGAGCTTAGAAATTTTGGTACCTCAGGTATATATATCAAACTCAAATTATTATTTTTGTTTCTTTTCAAGGACTCTAAAAAAATCTCTGTTTCTTAAAAAAAATCTCTATTGGAAATAAAGCATAGGGGGCAACAATATTATGTTGTTCCAGTAAATATGTAGCATCTCTACTTCTCATGAAAACATGAAGAACTTAAATGCGAAACCAGAAATGTCCTCTTCATGTGAGTTGGGATCTTCTTCCATCAAAATTTCCATCAATGTCATGAAAGTGAAGTGTGAATATATAGGTGAGTATAGCTACCTAGCTAGCTAGCTAACCAATGTCCATGAGCAAGACAACGACTTGCTGGTCATCTTGCCTTTCTTTTTTTTTGCCTTTTCTTGTGAATCGATATGCATACAGCATATATGGTGATCATAAATGGTGAGCATGTGCATTTACTGCACCATACTCACACCATCCATGCATATTAGCGTTCTTCGTATATTTTTTGACAGATTAAGGCTCGGTTTGGCATTGCGCCGGCTCTAGCTCCTAGCGGCTCCTGTCGCGAAGCCGTGCCAAATATTAGATGCCAAAACAACTCCATGCTAGAAGACCGAGAAACTAGAGCTGTGAAAATATGGTTTCTCTCGTCTCCTCCTCACAATTGGAAAAGAATTATAACAAAATTGCCATTAAAGTCGTTGTTTCCAAACGTTTTCTAAAATGACTTTAGCTCCACCAAATAAGTTACTCCACAAGACATGCCTGAGCCTATTCCCTTTTAGGAGGAACTGGAGCCCTGTCAAACAAGCCCTAAAGTACAAAAGAAAAAAAAAACTTTATGCTCCTCATTAAAGCATCTGTAGCATCTCCTACTTTGAATTGTAGGAAAGAGGTTGGGACATATAAGCCTTCTTTGGTAGAGCTCTTAGGGGCTTCGGCTTCACCTAGCACTGCATTGTTCTGCAGTAGTCATAAAGCTCTTTTATCTCTTCTCCTCCCCACAACTATATGCCAGTGAAGCCACTATTATTTACTTCACCGACTTCAGCTTCATTGGCTACTATAGGAACAAGCTAGAGCCGACTGAAACTCCATCAAAGAATGGCATAGTCTAATGGGAATTGCTTTGGACGGAAGGAGCATTTGAATGTGAATGGGCTTCTCTTTTTTACCATGTCCATTTTAGTCCTCTTAATTTTATTTCAATATATTTATGCATGTATTGGTGAGCCATTCTAAGCACGTTGTCGAAAGGAGGAAAAAAAACTACCGCCTACTAAGTAGGTTATGGGTGCAAATGGAAACTCTCATTT